CTCCTTCCCCTCCACCCAAACTCCTCTCTACATCCTCACTTCACCTTTACCTCTCTTACCTACGGAATTCTTCTTCCAAGCATCAATAAAACTCATCATCTCACAAGGTAGGTAATTTCGCCGAGAGAAAGTCCTGTCTATCGTGGCAGTATTGTTCAGGTTATCGTACAACACTTCATTCGTTTCTTCATGTCCCCGACTTTCAGGGGCCATACATCTGGAACTTGTCGAAAAGTCGATATAGACAAGTATGTTTCGACAGCCACCTCGACGTCCTCGACTGCTTCCAAGAACTAGCGGGACAGACTTGTCTTGTCAGTCGATAAGCTCGCCGGATTCAGGCTATGGCTCAGCAGATGAAGTCTTTGAGCTCTGCCCGAATCTTCGCAAACGATGTTTTCCTTCTTTCGATGGCTCAGGTCCGGATGAAATTCCAACCAAATCGCTTGAGAACCAAGAGCAAAAACCACCAGCGTCGAGCAAAACAAGACTCGCGGCCGAGCCTCCACAAACACCAGAAAGGCGTCATCCAAAAGGGAAGGCTGATGTGATTTCTCCTTTCTTATACTCGAAAGGCTCCAAACGCTTTCCCCTCCAAGACAAACGCATTGACTCAAACATACAGCATCTAGACAGATATGTCCCGAGACGTGATCCCATTTCCCCGTCGTCCGAGAGATACCGAACAACAAAGCAAAGCCAGGATTTATCGAGAGATGAGCGTCTGAGGCGTGACAAGAGTGCCTCGGCAGATCCATTCGTTCTAAAACGCCGTGTGATGGACCCTGATCCCCGTTTTCCTTTCCGAGTTGATGACAGTCATCTGGACAGAGGTTTGGCATCCAACCTGTTTTACTACCTTTTCCTTGCTTTCATCTGACCAGTTCATCACTAGGTATAGCTCTTGGCCAACTACCACAGAATCGAGGAGGAGATCGTCAAGTTAGTATGGGAGCCATGTGGTCGGTTGGTGGTCTTGCACCTAATGCAATCGCTACCGATGATGGACAGGGGCATCTCGTCAGACGTGGGACCAACGCTCGCGTGTTTCCCACCCTCTTCCAGGAAAGTCTTGTCAGCACGTCAGTCGAGAAGGAGAAGCATGAAGGCCGCATCGCTTCGGCTCTCAACATTGACCAGGTACGAAAGATCCTCGAGTTCGCACGGGCTCAGCAAATCCCCCGAAGCCTTAAACAGCACGGTCTTCATGCGGACTTTAGTCACACAAGTTGGAACGGATATCAGTGGGCAAACAAAGAGCAGTGGTCAAGTCAGTTGAAAGTTCTGATCTATTGAAATCATAGTTGACCATAAACAGTTCCTCTTAGGCCAGCGAAGAGGCGTCTGCTACCGGCTGCTCCATTCAGGTTGGTAAGTCTGGGTTTTCAAAGAAGCTGAGCTAACGGCCTTCAGAGTACTGGATGCCCCGAATCTAAAGGATGACTTTTACTGCTCACCACTGGCGTACTCATACACCGCACAAACTCTTGTTGTCTGTCTGGGGAGCCTTCTTTATGCCTGGTCTGAGTTTCGGGGCGTTCAACTGATCCATGGAACACACTCCGATACCTAGTTGACGTCGGTTGCTTTCTCATCAACTCCTGGAGGCAAAGCTGTGCTTGGGATTGGACACTCCAACGGGAGTGTGCTTTTCCAATCTCTCTTTGACACACTACCACGATTCGAGATTCGCCAGGCCTTTCCCATCTCCTGTGTGAGCTGGCGCCCAGTTTGTACTTTGCGACCTTCCAAAAACCCCATGAATCTAGGGGTCGAGGTTCTGACCGAGGACTTGGTAGTTGGGGATGAGATGGGCAATATCTACTACTACGTTGTGGAATGGCCGATAGGCTGGGAAGTCACGCGGGACACTTGGCCCGGTGCAGTATCGTTAGTAGCCAAGATCAGCAATATTCACTGTCAGCAAGTATGCGGTCTTGCATGGTCATATGATGGTCGGCTATTCGCTTCTGGTGGAAACGACAATCTCTGCTGTCTTTTCGATGCTGATCAAGTCTCTGGACGGCGAACTGAGCAAGCCACTGGGGTAAGTGGTTACCGAGGGCGTATAGAGGCGGGCAGCGCTTATGGTGGCATTGAGACAAGAGTTACGCGGCTGTTGAGCGTCGATGAGGACGAGGACATGCCCGTGGGGGCGTTCAGGGCACAGCTACAGCCAGTTCCAACTGGAACTGACACCGTTCGGTATCTTGGCCCTGCTATCGCGAAGCATCATTGGAACCACGATGCTGCTGTGAAAGCCATTGCATTTTGCCCCTGGAGGCGAGAGTTGGTGGCAACAGGAGGTGGCTCCAACGACAAGTGCATTCACTTCTTCCATACGCCATCCGGAGCAGCTCTTGCAACGATATCAGTGTCAGCCCAGGTAACCTCGCTCATCTGGAACACAACGCGCAGAGAGATTGCCGCCACATTCGGGTACGCTTCACCGGAACACCCCTATCGTGTGAGCGTTTTCAGCTGGCCGGAGTGCAAACAGGTTGCAGCAATTCCTTGGGAGGACGACCTGCGGGCCTTGTATGCCATTTCATACCCTCGAGGACCGACCTCTGATGACCCAACCGCACCAGCAGGAGGCAAGGAAGGGTGCATTATTGTTGCATCGAGTGACAAGAGCATAAAGTTTCATGAAGTATGGTCGCGAGAACGAGGCGTGACCGTGGGCGCCACGGGTATTCTAGCAGGAAGCGATATCCTGGAGGGGCTTGAAGGCATTGACAAAGAAGGAGACGTAATCCGATGAATTGCTTTCTTTCTCTCTTCTTTCCTTGTCTGAGAGAATCTCTACCTGAGGAGAATTGCCTAGACTGCAAGTTATGTTTAGGATTGGTAGGTAGTTTTTACTCTGAGAATGATAATATGATAAGACGATGAACCTAGACGGATCTCTATTTTGTTAAACCTGGTCAAGTAATGCTGCGTATTTACAGGAAGTGAATTCGCAGAAAAGGCCAACTGCCCTATGCCTGCTGTTGTACGGAAGCAAAGGAACAAAAAGAAAACATAACAAAATGTAAGGTAGGTAGGTAGATGCCACAAAAACGAACGCCCAAGCAAACGACTCCGAGAACTCCGACCAATGCGCTAAGCCCGCTGTTTCTTTTTGAGACGGATCCAATGGAAAGAAGAGAAGAGACAAGGATGGTCTAGGTTGGCTTATTTCAGGATAGCAATGAGCAGGACAAGAATGATGATGAGAACCACGATGGTGGTCATTTGCTTGTTCTCGCTTGCGCCTCGAGCAACCTTTCCGAGCATTCTACTTGCACGATCCAGTCGACTCTGGTGACGATCGGTAACAGCCTCAACCTCGTCGAGCATAGCAACGTGGCTATCGAGCTCGTCGCCGATTTGCATGCTAAGCTCGCGCTGGCGTCCGATAGACTCGCCCAGGCGATCGAGCTGCTCATCTTGTTGCTCTAGGATCTGGGCGTGGTACTGGTGAATCTGCTGGTTGTCCATGCCCTGTGCCTCGTCTCGGTAGCCGGCGCTATCGGAGGGATCATCACGGTAGCGGCCAAAGAGCTCAGCGGACGGGGACGGGGGAGTGTCGCTGAAGCGAACAGTCTTTGGCTTCCTCGAGACTGGAGATGTCGATGTTGCGTGCTCAAAGTCATCGGCGAGCTCTTCTGAGTTGGGGTGAGTGAGGGTTTCGGCGGTTTTGGAGGTTGGTTGGCCTTGGAATTGAGTTGTGAGGTCGTCTAGTTGCTTCTGGAGCGATGTGATGGATTCTGTGAGGCTTGTAGCGGCGCTGAGGAACAAGATCAGCATCGAATATGGTGCTTAGTACCTTGAGAGAAGGGCCTACTCTGTTTCGCCGGCAAAAGTCAAGCGCTGCTCCTCATCGCGAAGATTGGCGAGACCATCGCGGAACTGGTCGAAAGACCGTGAGATGTGACCATCTTGCGAGTCGCCTTCAAGATTGAGATTCTTGGCCCGTTGGCGCTCCAACAGCGAGAGCTTAATGTGGTCGGCGAGCAGGAAGAGTTGATTGGCGCTCGACATGGTTGGTGACTGCGATACGATGCGATGCGCTGCAATGCGATGTGATGTGGTTGATGGATGCGGTGGATAATGATCGATCAATCAATCAGACGGAGCTGTTCTCAGTTTGGGACCTGCTACATCCGCCAAAGAGAAAGGAGATACGACGGTTGTAGTGCTTTGATCTGAATCTGCCGACAAGAAGAGGGAATAAACTTTATTGGGGATGCAACGCCAACTGGATGTGATGGATGATGTTGTTGTAGTCGAGATGGAAGTTACCTAGGTACGTACGTACGTAATACTGGATGACGGATGGGCTGTCCAAAGGTTCCGAGAGTTGGTGTAACTTGACAATTGATGTATTTGAGCTACCTAGATGATAGTCGAGGAGACTAAAATACCTAGAATAACACGGGTGTCCCTGCGACGACAAGGTACTCAAGTGCCTTGGCTTTATCTGGACTCTAGATGCAGATACCTCAGCCAAGCTCAATGGAGGAGGTTGGGGACATGCTTCCCCTGAGCCTGAGCCTGAGCCAAAGGCAGAGCCAGTCCATTCAAGGCAAGTCAAGGTAAGTAGGCTTCCATTTAGTCGATATAAAGAGGGGGAAAAGGCAGCAGTGAAATTGATATATAATAGGGTATCAAGCTCAACAGTATGATTCGTCTGTCCTTCTAGAAGGTGTCTCATGCTGGGAAGACCAGTTCAAGAGACAGCGGAGTGAGTCAAGCCCCCGCTCTCGACTCAGTCCTCAAGAGGCAGATAAGGTAACAAGAGTTAGGTAGGCAATTCAAATGATTGATTTCAGGAAAAGTCAAAAGATACCTTACCGTGCAGAAAAGTTTATCGAGAGCCATCTACAGATACTCTGTAGATATTTAATATTTACATCATACCTAGTCTAGATTCGCACACGGCAGCGTCATGCTTGCTTGTACTATAGGTATCAGAACATTCCTAGGAGAAGATTGGCCATGCTTCAATCTATTTCAGCTATCATGTATTCATTGATCGAAATGCGGTGCATGCAGCTGCGTAGTCTGATTGCCTACTAATCTATCATGAAAATTGCACCAACCATCGCGCTCTCATTGAAATCTCAAGTGTTGGCCGCCGTGAAAGTCAATGCATACGATACGCCACATAATTGTAGACATTGTTACTTTTCATGTCTACCTAATATAAATAACCATTGAATTAGCCTGAGCCGCATGAGAAGAGCTGCAGGTCCAAGGCAAGACATTGGCTCTGTTGCAGCTCACCGAGTGACTTGAACCTATTCAAGCCACTTCATGGATTTCATTAGTTTAGTAGCTATCATTTGTTGGATGAGTACTTATTTGTGTTGCATTAGCGGGCGGTGCTTCGCTCCCAGCATCTCAGGCACAATGTCATGTACCCATCCAATGCATCGTGCGTACGTACTATACGAGGAAACCCAAAACCCATCCTCCTTTGATTGGATTCTTGGCTTCAAACCGGCCCTTTCCAATTTACTTACTTACTGCGTGTGTACCTGCAAGCTAAGTTTCCTTACGATAGCCCGAGCCCGAGCCCGCAGCCAGGCCACGGGTGTCGCGTCGTATTTATTGTCTTGCTCGCGAAAATTGCGCCCTGAACGGAACGCGCATCTATTAGCGGGAGTTTTTCTCCGACTGTGCCACAAACACAACTTGCACAATTTGCACAAAGCCACAGAAATGTTCAAACACCAACACAATTCACAACAGATGCACTTTTCAAAACCAAGCAAGTTGTCGTTCGATGATGTAAATTGCAATCAAATGATATCAAGCCATGACTATCCGGTCTATGGCATTCGCTCTTGGTAGCCTTTCTTTCCCGTCCATCCCAAGGCTCCTGTCCCATTCCCATTCCCAGCCCATAAGCATGGCAAACACGTAACTCCGTAAATAGCAAGTACAAAATGCATAAAGAAGATTTGAAATGTTCCCGGACGAGGGTTCTCTAGTCCATTCTCATGTCCATATCAGGGACGGCGTTGGTTGGTCGCGGTGATTCGGCTGCTGAAAGGACTTCCATTCCATCAAAGATAGGAGGAGAGCATTGAAGATTTCGGAGTGCGCCCTCGGCATTCTGGCTGACAAGTTGGCCTTGTCGGAGGTTCTCGGCAAATAGAAAGAAGCCCTCGTTGGTCTCCACCAGATACGACTGGAGACCGTTGCTCTCAAGAAGGATTCGAGCATTGGAGACAGGGAAATGGTTCTCAATATACCGAGCCCAACCACGAGCAGCGGCTTGGATGTGCTCTTCTTCACTAATTCTTCGCCAGCCAACGCCGAGGTGCAGAGTGAAGTTATCGACAATGGGACCCTCAATAGCAGGCTTGACTTCGGACTGGAGGGGAGAAGTGCTGGCTGCAGGTACGCTGGATGAAGTGGGCGACACGCGCTGCAGCTTGGGGTTTCTGATCAAAGAGCGCGCCTCCTTGATGGCGGCCTCTTCAGCAGCCTTCTTCTCCTCAACCCAGGTGCCGGATTGACTGCTGGCGTCTGTGACGTAGCGAGTGCTCTTCTTGATGAGGGTCATGCCAGGGCCGTAGATCCATTCCTCTTCAGGCTCTTCAACGGGCAGGGACTTCATGTCAGGCTCAAGGTTTTCAGAGGCCTCGTCCCGGGAACGCTTTCTACCAGCTGCAGAAGGTCGAACAGGCTGAGCAGCAAACTGGCTTGGCATAGGTGCAAATCTGGGTGGTGTGTGGTGTCCGAAGCTTGCCATACCCATAGACTGGTGGGCATGTTGGGGAGACATGGTAAGGACGGGAGAGGAAGAGAACTGAGAGCTAAAGTACGACATTTTGAAAAGCGTATTCTGTTCTGATCTGTGATGGGAAACTGGGAATGTTTGCAAGGTTAGTAGTCAGTGTTGTCACAAACCATCTATAGCGTATAGTCTCCGGGACACGCGGTGATGATGAGTTCGCTCAAGAGAAGAGGTGAGGAGGACGTCGGCGAGATGGAGCCTGATGAGTGACGATGAGATGGAGAGAAGCAGTAGAAGAAGGCGATGGATGCGGCCAGGACGAGGCACGAGGGCAAGGTACGCGAAGGTGAGGATGAGAGAAGGTGGATAATGAGGTAGGTAGTAAGTGGATGCGAGGTAGTTTTCAAGACAAGTCGTGATGGCAATGACTTTTCAGTTTCTATGTCCAGAGATGGATGGAGTGTGTGAAGAGAGGAGAGAAAGAAGAGGAGGGAGGAAATCGATGGGAGGAAGACGGAGGATTAAAAGCTGTAAAAGAATGCGAGGGGACCTGTAAGTTACAATAGAAACGAAGAAGGGGCGTGAAGTGTGAGTGGCTCTTTACCCCAGGTTGAGGTGCTCTCTTGCTCTTCAACGCACCCACCCAACCCATGCAGCCTCATTCCGATCTCTAACAGCTACTGGAGTTGACACTGTGCATTGGTCTCGCGAACGGCGAACGCCGCGTACAGGTACTCCGAAACAGCCCGATAGCGGCATCAGCAGCTTGTATCGGATTCGGCAAGCTGCAGCTGGGGTCCGTGCAAGACAGTACGCATACGGTATGCACGCCATCAGCTTATCGCAAACCTCCCGGCCCTAAAAGTGGTCTAGCTTGAAGCTAAGGCACTTCGCAGCGTCAGGTACGTACTGTCTAATGGTCAGCTCTAATTCGCGCTTGACCCCTTCTGGGTTGCGTAATTGTTAGGGGTCTCGCTGCCGTAAGGGGCATGGCGTCTGGGCGGGTCTTTAGCATCCATCTTGAGCCTTTCCCTGGTTGGATGGACAACGTTTTGACTTGCCCCGTGCCACTCTGAGCACTCGCTCAGCAATCAGACCTTAGAGCCGAGCCCCCATTTCATTTTCAGCCAAGTTTTTTTTTGCTTCTGATCCGCAGCTAGACATTGACCAATCTTTTTCCGATGAGACGCCAAAGTGATCCACCCGGGCTTCCGCCCTGCCCGAGTCAGTTTTTGTTTCTGCCCTGATCTTCTCTCTCCCAATGGATCATTGGCATTGGAAGTTTGTAGTTCCGAGCCCGTTTCCAAGCGGTACGTACCCAGGGTACCTCACTTTGCGTGCCTACCTCTAGGGAGAGACCAAAGTGAAATGAGTGGATCAAATAGAACTCCCGATGTCCAGTCCTCGGGGGGCAAGAAAACAGNNTTTTCTTTCCTCCCCTAGCCAGTCCCAGTGCCTTTCTGCCTCTCCTGGTTGGTGCCTGAGGTGACCACAGCCAAGCCAGGCACATCCAGTCTGGAATTTTCGTTGCCGCGAATGGCTGGATCTGGAGCCCCCCGGAGCCGGACCAACTGAAAATTCGAACCTGCCCGACTTTGTCAGGACGGATCCATGTCCGCGCCCGTTGTCCCAAACGGATCACAAAGGAACTATCACCGACCTCCCATCACTCACTCACTCACTCACTTATGGAGACGCAAGACCCAAGGGAGGAATGCTCCTTTAATTGGCATCGTCTTGGTAACGAACTAAACAGTTCATTATCCTGATTCAGTAACAAACTTAACCGTTAACGTACCTATGTTAAGGTAAGGAAGGTGTCTAGACAATAACTTCAGTCAACGCCCTGCTTGATCAGCAAAACCAGCAGTCCACCGTAATATTATGCTCCGTTTATCTTGTATTAGCAAGACTGATCCTCGTACTCCTTGCATTTGCCGATGATGATGGACCACCTGACATCACCACGGATGTCTGTCGGCAAATCATATCACACATCGTCGGCGTTCTCACTGCCTCCGTACAAACCCTGAAACCCTGGTGTTCTCAACCCTACTGGGCTAGTATTGCGTCCAGCACGCCTTCTCCTTACTGTCACCGGTGCATCGTCAATTTCGACTCTCACCCATCGCCCTCGAACTGGCGCCGTGTAAGCTCCATCAAACCTGCTCTGATGGCGAGCTTCGGGGAGCTGTCTTGGAGTTTGGGGTTGTTCTTCAACGGGCAGCCGATCACTGTACACAGGAAACTGTCTTCGGGGTGTTGTAGGCTCCAACCCTTCGTCAGCCGGTAAGGTTGAAAGCTCACCAGCATCTTCGGGGGGGTCCATAAGTTCTCCCGAGCTCTGCGACAGGTCGTCGTTGACTTCTTCCGTTTCATACGTTGATCCGTCCACCTAAATACCCATTAGCCTATTCGTGCTTATCTTTCATTTTCGCGGCAATCCATGCAATTCAAGGGGGCTTTCATGGATACATATCCCGATAATAATGATAGGGACAGGAGTTCTGTTGGGGAAGTGTCCCTCACAGTTGCTGCCAAAAGTTGCTCTATCGCCTCGCGTTCGTCCTCATCCGCCACGGAGCCATCCATACCATTATCGTGGGTTTGCGTGTGGACCGGCGCGGTATGCGCATCCTCATGATCACCTTCAAACTTATCAGTACCTGCCTCAGTTTCTATCATATGTCGCCATTGCTGGTCTGTTGGCTTACCCAAGCTTTGCCGCGGGCGGAAAGGAAGTCGATGTTGGTCTGATTGTCGATGCAGGTGGTTGATGCCGTGATCAACGTCCACGAATGTGGTCTCCTCGGAACTGATGGTACCGTAGTCCAGTAGAGGACCTGATGGTCCTATTTCCTCTTCACCGTCCGACTCGTTTCTACCATCTGAGCCTGGCGTGTCTTGTACAATGCTAGAGTTAGTGGATGGTGTTACGATCTTGGTGTTGAGGGCATCTTCAAGCGTAGCTTCTCGATCATACTGGATGAGATCATCGCGTTTTTTATTGGCCTTCTGGTGACTTAGTAGGTGCTTCCTGTAGCAGCTTCGACGCTCGGCGTCGCTAATGTCGCGTGTGGCTATCTTGATCGTCGTAGGTTGAAGTCGGAGCATCTTGTAGGGCGATTTCAGTCTAGGCTTTCACAATGAAGCGCCATACGTATGGCTGCAGGAACATGAATAAACAACATCGTAATGGCTTGTGCATGTGTTCCTTTCCCGCATCTTTCAGGACGCAGCTTCCCATAGACAGAATTGCTCAGTCAAGTTTAGGACAAGAGCAGGAACTTCCATGTAGCTCCTGAGCTCTAGGGTAAGACATACATAATTATATAAGGTCTCATGTTCATTTCAACATCCAATGCAATGAGGTTGTTTATTGATGTCTACTTATGCGGTGACATTCAACAGTGCTCTCTATTTCTTGTCATAAGTTACCTGTAGCTTTGTGGTTTCTCAGTCCCCAAATATTTCGTTTTTTGGTGCTTCCATATTCGATGGGAGGCTGACGACACAACACTTACGACAATATCTACACAGCCCCAGCAAGAGACAATGAGATATGGTGGATAACGCCCTTGATACCTCAGCATGTTGCTGATTAGAAACAATTCCCACTATCCAGAAGTATAGTGTAATTCGACATGGCATCCCTATTACGCGGCTATCCATCACGAGATACTCGATTTCCAGATATATCTTGGAATTTACGTGGTTTCTGGCTGATACGAGATGCTGCGCCGCGCTGGAAGAACCAAGTGAACGCAATGATATCGATATGCCTGCAAGAAGGATCCCCATGATTCGTACAACATGATATCCGCATTTGCAGTGAATCCTATAATTCAGCAATGACGTCGTCATGATTGTGTATCTGATCAGTAAGTGGAATCAATGGTGCTGCTCTTCAGCTTGAGGGGAGATACTTGATAATTACTGTATGGAAATTGAAAGCAGTATGGTGCTTGATAATCTATGATACAACTTGAAGGCATTTGCTGTCATATAGATTGTGATAGTAAACGTCCTGTGGAATATTGTTGTATCACCGCTTCACGACCTCAAAAGTCTTAATTACATCCACTCACTCACTACCTTAACTAAAATGTCTTGAAACAGGCTGAGTCCCAAGAGCACGGACAGAATGGCATCCACACGTACCTACTACATCAATTCTATTTTTGGGCATCGCGATTGTTGAACAGCACCGAGCCATAGAGCCTGGATATCGTCGTCTCCATGTCTGGGTTAGATGATTTGCCCTCATTAGCAATTTGCTGTGCTCGATCATCTTGGTGGGCAATGCATGTAGGTATTTTTAGCGCCGTGATAGACAGGGACAAGTGCGGCTTCTGCCCGTACCCAAACCATCTCTTCAGGTAGATAAGTAGGTATAATAGTAGAGTGAACCAGATCCGTGATATTTAAGTTGTTATCCTTGGCATAAAAGTATCCAAGCCAGCATTTTTCTTTGTTTTTACCTCGGACCAGCGATTTTGCAACAGTGGCCAGGATATCTCGCAGACCGTGCTTGCGGATCAATATTCGAGATTGCCAGCTACATACTACCTATACCTCACACTCTATATCTGACCGAGTACTCCGTACATCTAGTACATTAGGTAGTGCATTGGAGATTGGCTCAGGACAGATATTGGTGGCTGGTGCTCCTCTCACCAAAATATCAGACAGACAAGGTAAGGCACCTTGCGAAAAACACTGGGGGCTCCCAGTCTCTCCTTTTAACTGTGCATCATCCCAGCAAGCAAAGCCCCTACCGCCGTAAGGTAAGGTAAGGTAAGGT